GGGAGGCGCCGGGCGGCGGGGCCGGCGAGGCTCCCGCAGCGCGGCCTGCGGCGGCGGCCGAGGCCTCCGCTGGAGTAGCCGCCCCCCCCCTCCCCGCCTTCCCTTCCCCTGCTCCTCCTCCCGGGCCCGGCGGCCGGCGCTCTGGGTACCTGGTAGGGCTGCGAGTCCCCCCTGCGGTCGTGACAGCTGAGGAGAGAGCGAGAGAAAGAGAGAGCGAGACGTTAGCGAGCACCCGTTACCGGCCGCCGGGAAGGGGGCCCAAACATGGCGGAGGAGAGGGGGGAGACCCCGCGGGGCACGGGCCCGAGGAGGAGGAAGGGATTTACCCATCACTGAGTCTCTGCTGTTTCCTCGCATACATTACCATCAATGCCCGGCCTGTGTGCGTGAGTGTGAGGGGAGCCGGAGGGGACGGCCGCGGCCGGGCCACAGGCGCCGAGGGGGGAGGCGGGGGAGGCAGCGCTCCGCCTCGCCGCCGACCGGGGGCAGGGAGGGGGGCAGGGAGGGAGGGGGCGGCTCGGGCAGCTCGGCTGGGAGCAGCGCTCACGGGCCCATCGCCTCCGCACGCGGCCGAAGGGGAGACGCCGGCGACTCGGCCCCGCGCGCGCTGAGAGCCTCCGGGAGCGCCGACTCCGCCGCCGCCTCCCCCCGCTGCGCCCGCCGCCGCCGCCGCTCCTCCAACTACATCCGGGAAACTCGGGCGACGCCGCGCTCGGTTAACGTCGGCTCTTTTCGGCTCTTTCCGACACGCTCCGTCCCCTCTGTCCCCTTTGCTCTCGGGCGACTCTGCCTTCGGGAAACATCGGCTGTCTCCGCCAAGCCCAACGCCCTTCAGCCGCTCCCTTCGGCAAACATCGGCTCCTTCCGTTGCTTCCCCCTCCCCCGCGCCTCGGCCTCCGCTCGTGATCGCTACCTGTCTTCGGAAAACATCGGTCGTTTCCGTAGAGAGGCTTCTACGCTCCCGCCGGGGTGACGCCGCTTTCGGAAGCGCTCGGGTATTTCCGTGACCCCGCGCCGCTGCCGCCGTCGCCGCGCTCCCGGTTGCGGCGCCCGGCGGAGCGGCCCGGCAGGCGGGTAGGGTAGCGCTAGGCCCGCCCGGCGGCGCGGCCCCGCGGGGGAGCCCGGCCCGGGCCCCGCCGGCCGCACGGAGCTTTCGCGCGGGGCCGAGCACCGTGCAGCGAGCACGGAGGTAGGTGGCCTCGGGGAGCCTGCCCTGCTCCCCCGCGTCCAGGCGCACAGAGGTTACGGCCTGTACCGAGTGGTTTTTTTTCCTGCCACGGTTTGTATCTCCTTGCTGCGGCTTGCCGAATACTTAAATCCCCCTCCCTGGCCCCTTGTAGCAGGGCTGCTCAGGTACCTTGCACTTTGTTTCGTAAGTGAATAAGTGCTTTTCTTTCTTTGTGTATTGAGTTGCTTTTGAATTGCTTCCCATATTTTTATTTCATACAAACTGAACAATTGTGGCCCCTCTATTTTATTTATAAAGGTTCAGTGTATCTTTGCCTGCCTACATCAATCTGCAAGGGAGTTGCAGAAAAGCCTCATGTTCATCGAGCCGTGAGTCACAACCAATTTTTAAAGCTGTTATAACAAAAAAAAAAAAAAAGTGTTTGCTTTTTTTTTCACAAGTAATTTTAAAAGTGTAGCTGAGAGAGAGAGRAAAAAAAAAAAAAGAACATTTTCAGTAGACACAACATTATTCCTGGATGCTTGCAAATCCTAAGCTATATTCATACGTTAGTATTACACATACCTGTGTCATATACACAGATTAGCTTTAAAATTGTCACATACCATTACCAGTTTGCCTTTACTTTTATGTATCGTTCCCCTGACTTCCTTACTGCAGGTGTGGGCAAGAAAACTTTTCCTTTAAAACTTTTCAACAGTGGGCATAAAATTCTGCAGCTGAGGTCTTGAAGAATGCAGATGGGTATAGTATATGTTGGAGCTCGCAGTGTGTATTGACTAACTTTGTTTCTTTATTTTTTTTTATTTTGCTTTTCTGATATTGTCTTGTTTAAGTGGCTCCTGAGTGTAAATTGTCTTCGGAGGGTGGGAATCGGGTGGGAAGCACATTTCGTGTTCCAGGCCAAGATCCATCTCTGCACGGCCTTGGAAAGCACACTGCATATTTGGTTTCCAAACCAAATGGAATGATGTCTTAATTATCAGATTGGCAAATAGCAGTTGCCTGTAAAATGTCAAGCACAGCCCTGTTTTGTGATTCATGGCCCTCTGCTACCAAGGGTTTCAATATCTCTTGCCCCCGTCCCTTAAAAAAAAARRAAAAAAAAAAGGGGAAGAAAATAAAAGTTTGGGCTGTGAGCCAGAYTGTCTCCTTTTCTCTCTTCTGGCTGTGCTGCCTCTTTATATGGGTGACAGGCTGTGGACGCTATTTGGCTCGCCAACACTGTGTTTAACATGGTGTACTGGATGAATAAATGCTAAAATAGTATTTGTTGCCAATTATAAGTGTTCCAGAATATCCTGTTGCCCTCTAAGGTTTTTTGAGTTATCTTGGGGAGCAGGAACACCAAGTATTTTAATCTGCATTTGAGGCGAAATGATCATACCACCATCTTGGTACTCTTACCAGTATTCTAATGTGTCCTTGTTTTAAACCACAACTGAATTTCAGGAGATGAAACCAGGCAAAGGGTGAAGTTCACAGATGATCGGGTTTGCAAGAGCCACCTTCTGGATTGCTGTCCTCATGATATCCTGGCAGGAACAGTAAGTATATGCTTTGTAATAAGGAGTTACTGCATGACAGAAGCTGGTAAAACAGTTCAGTGCTAAGCCATGCATCATAGGTAGCTATCATAGGATAATTTTAATCTCAACTTCTGACCTGTGTATAAAACCAATGTAGCTGGCAGTTCCCGGAGTTATCTTGAAATATTCTTTTCTCTCAATCTTCTGCAAAGTTGCAAGACAATTTCTTTTTTCATTGATTTGAGGCAATTTGAGTTGCAACTTGTCTCATGGAGATCACAGGATCATGCCTCTTTCGGCTCTCTGTTCCCCTGAGCACAATTACATCTTGGGGTTAGCAAGGCTTTTCTCACTGACCAAAATTATCCTTAACCCTCACAGCTTTTCAGTCTCCTTTTAGAGCATGTGATGTTCTCTTCATGGAACTGCCTCAGCAGCAGCTTTTTCATCGTTTCTGCTCAGCTGCAGGGAGTGTCCACGCGCTCATGGCAGGTTACAGCGCAGTGCCCGTCTTTAGAATTAGCTGGGCTGAGCAGCTTGTCACTTGGACTGATTAAACACAGTTGCATCTCCCTGCTTCCTTAGCTGCTGCCCTCTGGGGAAATTGGGAGCTTGTTTTCAGAAGTTTAATGCCTAAATGCAAGCAAAAGGTGACAAGGACTTAAAAAATGATCCTGTGGATTAAGTATTGTATTTAGGCGCCCCAGATGAGAAGTCCAGTGTGACTTTCAAAGTAAAAGGCAGCACTTTGTTGCTGTGGTGTTGCATAATTGCAGGATAGAGATGAATGTGGGTGCTTGAAATGAGTCTAGCTTCACTTTAGCCTGTTTGACACTAAATACTGTGGTATTTTACACACTATTTACATTTACATTTAACCAAATTGTTTAAAGRTGCCATAGTTATAACCCTTCCTTTTGTTGTTTCAAGAGCTGAATTTGACATAATGGGCTACCAGCGAAGGGAAGGGCTGGAGTTTTTTTTTAGGTTGTATCACTGCTACAGCAAGACTGTGTGGCAGCAGGAATAGAAGAAGCTTTAGCAATACCAGCCTTGGCTCTGGGCACTCAAACTTCAGCTTCTCAATGGCTATTATTCCAGAAYAAGATTGGTAGAGTTGAATACCAATATGTATGTTTTTAAACYGTCATAATGGGCCTAGGGCAGAAATTTGGAGCTCAGATGTGTTTTCCAGCAGTTCCTACATTAGCTTCCATGTCACCTCACTTACATTTCAGAATGGTAAAGCTGCTGAAGTCCTCTCTGCCTTCCTCCTTGCAGGTTATCATGTAGGTCAGGGCCCAAATTTCATTTGAAAGTGCAGACTGCCACCTTGGAGTTCTGCACATTTCCAGAAAGAAGGTGAAGCTGAAGGAGTTATATTGAGTGGCAAGGGGGACCACTGGCTCTAGTGTCAAAGCACAGAGAAAATGTAGGGTGTTCAGATGAATTTGGAGTCTTCTGGGTCAGGTAGAGGCCCACTGAGAAAGCTGTTTGTCTTGCTTCTGTTGTCACTCATCTTCAGTGAGTTGTGTCTTCATTCTGAGTGTGGTTTTTGCTCAGAAATCTCCCRCAGGAACAGGGGAAAAGACCCCTCCTGTGTAAGGGAGCATTTGGTTCTCTTAAATGATCATGTGCCCTTGAAGTGTCTGTGAAACTCYGTGCTGCTATTGGGCTGTTTTTGGAGAAAGGGAATTGTGCTGGTACCACAGATCTGTGTTGAAAAATGTAATTTCTGGAACAGAATCAGCATTTCGTCTATCGGTGGTACCAGCGCAGAATGAAACTTAATTAGAATATGTGGATTTTCTCTATGAACTCAAACAGTTTTACTAGCAACTTAGTCTCTGAGAGAGACTGAGAGATGAGTGAAGCAGCCTCAACTGGATGGYGTACCATCCACCTCTGAATGTGTATTGGAGAACTCATGACCTCGGATCTGTGGAAACTTCCAAGAGATACTCCAAGCCTTCTGGTAATTGTCATGATTCATCCTTCCTCTGTAGGTCCTGTTCCTGCTGCATCTCTCGTGTATGAAGGGACTGCTGAGTAGTGGGAAGCTGAATGGGGAAGAGCAGGAAGCTGGATCCTGAGAGTAGCTGTGTTCTGTGAAGTGTGATAAAATCCCATTCACTGACCTTCAGATGAGGAGTTATGAGGAGGATTCCAGATTTTAAGTGAAGTTCTGGGGTATTCTTGAGAGCTGCAGGAGGCTTCTCTGGTCACAAGGGCTAGAATTGTAATTTGGCTTGATCTTATGATTTTTTGTTTGTTTGTTTCTTTTTGGCCTCAGAAATATTTCAAAACATTGTGGCAGAACTCTGAATTAAAGGAGCAAGAAGGTGTCTGCTCTGCATGTTTTCAGGCTCTGTTAAAGAAGCAGAGTTTTTAATTAATTTAGACTATAGTGGAAAACTGTTTTGCTGTGGGAGGAACAATCTCCTTGATGTCTGGTCAGTTATGCAGACTTGGGCTGTTTGCTGTGATTGTTCCTGAACTCTAGTGGTGAGGTTGCAAAATCARTATTTCCAGGTGAAGATACTCTGTTTAAATTTCTTTTTGTCTGTCTAAACTTGTTGCTAAAAAAGCTACAGTGATTCTCCTGTTGTCTGCATGGGAAAAGCAGAAAATTCTGGAAGAATGTGAGGTAGTGTTCAGTACATCCATGTGCTGTTACCTGGGGACTTGTTAGCTAGATTCAAATCTATTGAATCTAGATTCTGTCTAGATTCTATCTACTCAAATTTGTTAGCTCCACTAATGAGCAGACATGARTCTAAAAGATGTGTAGGTAGAATGTTGCTGGGAAATTACAATAATTCCTTGAATGCATCTGCTACTGGAAGGTATTGGTGAGCTGAAAATTGAAAGAATTGTTTCATGGGAACTCATGCTTTCCATTTTTATTAGGGCAGATTTTGCAGGGCTATTTGCTCTTGAGAAGTGTTCTCTTGCGGAAAAAGATCTGGTGAGTTGGCAATTTAGCTTTTGGTAAATCGAGCAAAATGAGGAACAATACATAGTGACAAGTCTTGAATTATTTTGTTTGAAAAAGAAAAGCTAATAACAGAGGTAACTACTTAAAATACAAGCATTACTTGGTGGAGCTTGTTTTAGTGGCTTTATTTCCTGCTCTCCGCTTCCATTGCTGCTGTCTGAGCATACTGCTTTATGTGAGGGTGCCTGGCACCCCCAGTTCTAGCCTGGGGTGTTTTGCAGGCATCCTGATCCTAATTTAGTTCTGTTCAGCTTCCACTGTAGCCCTCTCCTTAGTATCTTGTTATCAGTGGTGCTGTGTTCAGTTTTGGGCTCTTTGAGGAGGTGGCTGGGAGAGAAGAGGATGACTGGCTGGGATGTGACTTCATGTTGTGCCATGTGCATTGTCATTCTTCCAGCTTGCTGTGGCTCGTGTTTAGACCTTGGGTTATTTTTGGCTTTCAAAATGTTAGGTTTTGCTGTTAGAGAAATGAGAGGCGCTCTCTGTTAAATATTGATAATGCAGAAATACAATTTCCATAATTTAAGAGCATAATTAAATTCATTTCTTCTGGCTGTTAACTACTATGTGAGGAGATCAACAAATTTAAATACTGTTCACTGCAATGGGAGTGAAGGGCAGAATGCAGGTCAGAGCTATATGGCAAAGGACTTTCTCCACAAGTCTCTTCAATTTAAAGGAGAAACTCATGGGTTTATGTAGTTTATGTGTAGCAATTCATTCTGCTGGGCTGCAGCTGAATATGGGAAGGGGCTGATAGTGGAGTCTGACCGTGTGGGTCTGTTGTTGTGCATAAAGTTGTGCATTTCTTGTGGCTATAGTCATTTCCTTAAGACCTTTCCTCCTAGTGGGAATCTTTCCCTCTGTATTTTGTGATTTATCTGGCATTTTTCACTATTTTACTCGGGCAACTTTTGACACAGATGTGCTTTTCTTTGTGAGCTTTAAGTTGCAGGTACAAAGCTGTATGTTTTGCTGGTGCTGTAGCTCCATTATATGAGGTGTTTGGTGTTGGTGCCCACTGAAGGATATTGGTGCCTGCTGCTGTGTCTTCCCAGCTCRTTGTGAAGCCATGTTGTGAGCTAGAGTAGAAGTGGTACTGGACTTAAAATAGTTGGGGTGTTTTAATGTTGCTCCAGAAACACGTAGGAAGTGCTTCTAGTGAACATGTGGTCCTTCTGACTGCTGGTTAAAAGGAARCTCTTCTTCCTAAGGAACCTCTATTTTGAAGTGATAGAAGTGAAGTATCAGTGCTGGTTGTGTACTGAGAGACTGCTAACATTGCTTTCTCTTTCTCTTTTCAACAGCGTATGGACCTGGGAGAATGTACAAAGATTCATGACTTGGCATTGCGAGCAGATTATGAGATTGCAAGTAAAGAGAGAGACCTGTTTTTTGAGCTGGATGTAAGTTTTGAGAAATTTTACTCTTGTGGAAGCTACCTCTTAGGTTATTTGACTGAGCAGTAGAACTCAACGAGCTTTTCAGTTCATCAGTTGATGCATTATCTGACAAGAATGTGTGGCCCTTTCTCAAATCTCAGCTGATGCTGACTTTTAAAGTGTAAAAGTAATTATGGCCCTTGCAACCCCATTAGTCCAGGTAGCTCTGAGGATCCTCCAGCATTCCTTGCATCCCAAACCCTTTTGCTGTAACAGGTCTCTGTAATTTGGTGACCTGTCCCAGAGTGTTAAGTTTCCCACTCAGTTGTTTCACTTTTACCAGATTCATCTTTCTATGGTGGATCAACGAAAGTGAAAGAGCAATTCTCTCTTCTATTTTTATATTATTCTAGTGCTTCTGTCTTTGCATCTGTGGTTCATGCAGTGGCATTTTGGTGCTAAGTAGTCTTGGTGTCATCACCSTACAGCAGGTTCTGAGCAGATGACAAACAAATTTTACTTTTTTTACAAAGTGTTAACAAGTTAACAAGTATACTGTTAAAATATCCCTTCCTGAGGTTCTTCGTGCGTTGTACAGAGATCTTTGTGCATCAGTGAGATGTCAAAGCTGGATGCTGGCTCTGGGAACACCTTTAATCACTATTCTTTGTTTGAAAATACAGGCTATGGATCACCTGGAATCCTTCATTGCAGAGTGTGATAGGAGGACAGAACTGGCTAAGAAACGACTGGCTGAGACGCAGGAAGAGATTAGTGCTGAAGTGTCTGCAAAGGTATTGGTCTCTCGTTACATACTTGTCCTGAAAGCCTGAGCAAGAGCATTGTTAAACAGATCTAAAGCTGTTGATGTTGGAAAGGTAGGCCCCAGGGAGACTGTGAATTCCAGCCATAGTCCTGTAATGCTACTTAGCCATCTTTATGATTTAAAAAAAAAAAAATACTGTAGTAAGGTATGAACTCTAAAATAGGTTGCTTCAGCAAGGCTATGATGTGTGTAGTATTTTTTTCTRTAGGAAAATGTAATTGGGGTTGGGGTTAATATAGTAGCTTATGTTAGTAAATCCACCTCATGACTCTTTTCCTTGGTGTGTGCACATAGAGCTTCCTCATCTCAAGCTTACAGAGCAGCTTCCCTCATTAAGCTAATTGTTCTTCAAGCCAGGAATGTGCCACAGTCTCTGCAGTAGAGCTAATGACATCCTGTCCATGTCCCGTTCTTTCCCTTGCTTCATATCTCCAACTGCCTTATCTGTACTTGGTCCGTCAAGTCTCTCTTTCTTGGACTCCCTTGACTGCTGAAGATTCCTAGTTAAGCCTCCAACCCAGCTTGTTTTAAACAGCTTTTGTTGTTGTTGTTGTCCTGCAGCTTTTGGGAGTTTTTTGTGTTGTTTAAAACYAACTGTTCTCTTTAGGCAGAGAAGGTACATGAGCTGAATGAAGACATTGGAAAGCTCCTAGCTAAAGCTGAACAGCTGGGAGCTGAAGGAAATGTTGATGAGTCTCAGAAGATCCTGATGGAAGTGGAGAAGGTCCGAGCCAAGAAGAAAGAGGCAGAGGTATGGCTTTGATCCTCCCATGAATTGTAATAGCTGGCTGAGCTAGACTAATGGGTGACAAACAGCTGGGCAGTTCCTACTGCTTTTCTTTCACCGATGCCTCCTTTTTTCAGTTTCATCATTGTACTGGCAAGCAGTTGGCCATGAAATGTGATAGACCAAGAAAAGCTTTTAGAAAGCTCTTTTAAGTAGTACTGCCTGTGAAGGAGTACTGCCTGTGAAGGGGTTTTGTCCTCTGAAATACCTGATTACTAGTCACACCCAGGGTTAGGTTGTCAGGCTGGCTGCGCTCCTGAAGTGTTTTGCTTGGCATCCCCTTTAGGTCGAGGATGCTTTTTTCATCTCTGAAAGCAGCAGGACAACCTTGTAGGTGTTTCTGGAGGGTTGTGGCAATGTAAGGGGCTGTTCCTGACAATTGGCTGTTTTTTGTCTCTTTAAGGAAGAATACCGAAACTCGATGCCTGCCTCCAGTTTCCAGCAGCAGAAGCTGCGTGTGTGTGAGGTCTGTTCTGCCTATCTTGGTCTCCATGACAACGACAGGCGTCTTGCTGACCACTTCGGAGGAAAATTACACTTGGGCTTCATTCAGATTCGTGAGAAACTGGATCAGCTGAGGGTAATCCTGTTGGTTTTAAACATTCTCCTTGTGGTCCTGAAAACATTCAGCACTTTTAAGTTCATACAGAATTCTTTGCAAACGGGTTATATAAGACCAACAATTTTTTGCTCTTGATTTCCRAATCCCTGCAGCTCCGAATGGAAGTTTGGCTAACCTCATTTTGGGTTCAGTTCTGTAATTTCTATGTAATTGAAATTATATTGTTAGAATAGGTCAAACCATACCAATGCTGCAACTTTCCCTTTAATTACATGTGATTTACAGGTGCTTTTTCTCATGGGCTTGGATTGAAATTTGTCACTGTTGGGATTTTTTTTTGACTACAAAAAAAGCCCTTTGAGAAATGCTTTAAGTGGAGAGATTCCTAGGACTGTCAGTGAAGAGGGTCTTGGATAGAGAAAATGTTGAGGGGAAATCTTCTGCATCATTTTGTAATGAACCTGTGATACCAGCCTTGCTTGACAGTCCCTTATCTCAAAGCTGACATGCTAGTCTCATAGAGCACAGACACTCAAAAGCAGAACTGGGAATGSTATTTCCTGCACCAACGTGTTTTAGTGAAGTTTTGAGCAAAATGAGAACCTTGGCAGAGATTTTGACTAGCAAATAAAATGCAGTGAAACAGTTCTTTGTCTGAGTACCTGAACAGTCTCTGTGCAAATTCCTCTGACATGTTATTCTCTGGCTGAAACATGGTATTAACTTTTTCCTAGAAAACAGTGGCAGAAAAGCAAGAGAAAAGAAACCAGGATCGTTTGAGACGGAGGGAAGAGAGAGAACGAGAGGAGAGAATGGGCAGGCGGTAAGTGAAAGCTGATAGTTTGTGAAGTCAGTTTCAAAATAGCCCAGTTTCTTGTCTCTGAATGCCAAGGGAAAGCAGCAGCTCCCCCAGTGTATGAGGTTGGATCAACTTTTGTGCATGTTCTGGAGGTTGTTTGAGCACRTTAGCATGTAATAAAGAATGGAACAAATGCACGAAACTTCTACTCTAGAATGAGAGCGTGTGGTATTAGCCTCCATTGCATATCTGAAAGATGTAAGTCATGGAGGTTCCTCAGGCCTGGAAGAGAACACATATCATCCTGGTCTTCAAAGAGGGTCAGAATGAGGACACGGGGAGCTACAGGCCACTGAGCCTCGACTTGATCCCTCTGAAGGTTGGAGCAGGTAATCCTAGATATCATTTCCAGGCCCATGAAAGACAAGAAGGTGATGGGAGTAGTCRGCATGGATTCTCAAAGGGCAAATAATGCTTAAACATCCTGATGGTATTCTGTTCCATTCTATAATGGAATAAYGGGCTGGATATCTATCAAGGGATCTTAACAATCTGAAGACACAGGCAAGAGGAATCRATCTCATGAGGTGGAGAGTCCTGSACCCGGAGAGGAATAACCCCATACCCCAGTACAGGCTGGGACTGACCTGCTGGATGGCAGTTCTGCAGAGAAGAACCTGGGCATCCTGTGGGCAGCAAGCTGACGTGAGCAGCAACGTGCCTTTGTGGCCAAGAAGGCAAAGGACATCCTGGGATGYRTTAGGCAGAGCATTGCCAGCAGGTTGAGGGAGATGATCCTTCCCTTCTGCTTGGGCCTGGTGAGGCCAGACCTGGAGTGCTGTGTATAGAGKTCTTAGCAAGGTCTCTCTTGAGAAAAAAACTGAAAAGACTGGATTTGTTTTGCTTGGATAAAAGGAGACTGAAGGATCTTATCAATGTGGATACATGTCTGAAGGGAAGTTATTTAAGAAGACTGAGCCAGACTCTTTTTGGGGAGCTCTGCAACAGCATGAGCAGGGAAAAAAAAAAACAAAACAAAACTCTGAAACACTAAAAGTCCATCTGAACATAGGAACCACCCCCCCCACCACSACGTTTTTCTTGTGAGGATGACTGAACACTGGAACAGGATGCCCAGAGAGGTTGTGGAGTCTCCACCTGTGGAATTCCCTTGTCAGAGCTGATAGCAAAAYGGAGCTAGACTGTGTGAGCAGAAAACCCAGATTGTGATTCTTATGCAGAAACTTCTCTGTGTTAACAGTGAGCTCCTGTTGGAACAACTTTTGGAAACTCTTTCCAGGACATCTTTATGGTGTCTTAATGATTGGCTGTTTTTGGCCACTGTAGCCATATGTATCACGCTTCATTCATACTTGTATAATACTTAAATTGTGGGAGTGGCAGCAGTGCTGGTATTCAGGTGACAAGCTCTTCTGCCTCTTACTGGCTGAACTGGAAAAACCTTTGTCATCCTTGCTTAGGTGAACACGAACATGAGCGTAAACAGCTCATTTAAACACCAGCCTGAGGTGAAGCAGGCACTTATTTGCTAAGGGTAGGCAGAGGAAGTGGCAGAGTAGGAATGCTGCTCTYGGTGTCACAGGATTCCCTAGTCCCACCCAAGTGTTGCTACTCAAAATCATGTATTTTTGAATCTGGAAAAAAGGTCTGTGGAGAGCACTTTCTGACTCTTAGTATTACTGAAAGTTAAACCTGTATGTATATGTACAAAAACCTGTAGTTGTATATGAGATATACAACTGCAGTGTGCTCTAAGATGGTGCTGACTTCTGGAAATGCTACTAAGTGAGTAGCAGAATCAGATACCTGGTTTTCTGCATACTGTGCCTGGTTTTGGCATCGACTTAAAGCCAGTGCTTTAAATATGAAAAGTTTTAAGTGTTGTATTGGATTATTCTGAAGTGAGGATTCTTGATCATTCTGCAAAAGGCCAGCACAGAAAACCTGTTGTTTCCTTTATACCTGTTTTGTGATATTTTCATATGCAGAGTCTTCACTGTGTTATTCTTGTAAGGGAAAGAGTATTGCTCAAAGGCTTTGGTGGTTCTGTAAGCTCTGTGGCAGGAAGGAAACCTGTAGATTTACTTATGAAACTCTCTAGCTCGAGAAACTTCATTAATATGTCAAATAAGATGCAACTTTCAAATATGAATCGATTATGAACTGGATTGTCACCCACAGGGGTAAAYTGAGTCCTCTGTCCTGCATTATTTGGTGTTGCTGGGGTCTTCTGGATACCCAGTGACCTTTCAGACTGAGCTCTGCAMTGCACTGTGAAGCAGTGACGTGCTTGGAGGTCCAAATTTGTGTGGTTACCTCTTGAGTACAGCAGCAAACAAGACGAGGTGGAGCTGCCAGATGGATTTCCTTTGTGGTAAGCTAGATGAGAGCACTGGTTATGAAAGTCAACCTAAGCCTGTGTTGGAAGCCTCTGTGGTGCAGGGACACRAGAAAAAATATGCAGTCTTTGAGATTGCTGGGCAGCAGTCCCATCCTGCTATATACTGATGTGGGCTGCTAAGGAAAGTGCTGTTCTCTTGGTTACTCTCTGTCTTTGGGTGTCTACGCTACTGAGTGACTAGCAGGAGTTTATAGAGCATCCTGCACAGTTCAGGGTCACGGAAGGCCGGCCAGCCTGTTCAGGGAATGTTAAATTGTTTTGTGTGGATGTGTGCCCCAGTGGTTCAGAATAAAGTGATCAGGAATAAAAGAACATTGAGTACTTAGAATAGCTGCAGGCACCAGCACAGATTCAGCTGCCTGCAAGCTGTCTAGGGGAGGTCCAGCTGGGCAGGTTGTGTTACATGGAAGGGTCTGTGGCTACTGCCTTGCTCTCCTGCCATATSAGCTCTGCCTTCACCTGGGCTGGCCACGTTGTCTCAGCCTGTGGTTCRTTTACCTGATTTCAAGTGTATGGTTCATTTGCTTGACTCCGAGTTCAGCTCTGTCTTATTTACAATCCTATAAACTGAATTCTTTTATAGATGTTTGTTTTTCTTGCTGTAATGACTGAACAACCTGATTTCCTCGTGCAGGAATGTCAGAGCACGTTGATTCTCTTATTCTTGTCTTATCCAGGTATGGTTTTAAAAGGATATGATCAAAATAGACACTTTTCTGTTGTTTTTTTTTATTGTTATTTCATTTTGTCTTTGCATTGCTCAGCTGCATCTCCAGTGACAGCCACAGAGCATTTTGTAACTGCATTTTGTAACTGAGGCATCCTCTGTGAGTAAGTCTGCAGTGAGGAGATCAAAGTTAAGAGCAGTGATCTCTAACTCACTGAACAGAGACTGGCCACTTTTCAATTAAATTAGAGTCCGTTCAGATTGTGTGTAATATTTTATAGTTGTGTTTTTGCTAAATATATCCTGGCTTTGCAGTGCCTCTAGAGGAAAAAGAAAAGGTGCATCTTCCAGATGCAGAGGTATTTTAAGTAGACCCTTAATGTTGCTTCAGAAGTTGAAAGAATTGTGACTTTTATTTACAAACTCTTCACAGAAGCTAATGCTTCTGAGAGGTGAAGTACAAGTGCCCTRCATGAGCTCTAAAGCAGTGCAAACTAGAGTGAGTGTGGTGGGGCTTTAGTAAATTATGATACCCACTTCTAAAGCTGCTTTCTGAGTCGGAGAGGAAAGATTTCAGCGCACCTCTTAGTAACAGCTCTCCTTTGTTTCTGTRTTCTTCCTGCTTTTCCTAATTTATCATTCCCAAAGTGGAAAAAATAGTGCAAACTTATTTTTAATGCCTGTTAAACGTGAGAAAAGTGAGAAAATACTCTATTTTTCTTAAACCTTTTTTATTTCATGTAACTAATTCAAAGGAACCAGAATCAGAAACCCACAGCTGTCCAGCTTATCTTTGACTATMGTGTGACACTGTCCCTCGAAAGTGTTGGGAGTTGATCTTCAACTGCAGAGGGTAAAAAATGCATAGTGAACCTGCAGAGTAAAACTTGAGATTGGAAAGGTACGTAGGGGAGTTGTGGTACTGGAGACTGCATCAGTCTACAGATCTCTTCTGATGGGAAGCTGCATAGGATTGAGAAATTGTTCTTCTAACATGCACTGTAGAGACCGATGCTTTTTCTGCAAGATTCTTTCCTTTTGATTAAAAAAGAAATCAAGTTGATGCTCTTAAGTTTTTATCTGACAAGTTACTTTGGGTATTATGGCATTTCTGTGAGAAGCTGCTAGGGTGGATAGATTATTTTAATGAGAGAAAAAARAAATTGCCAGCTTTATTAAACCTCCTCTCACTCAAACATTCCTTTTTAGGTCTGGATCAAGAAATAGAGATCGTCGAAGGTGAGTGCAGTTCTCCTGCAGTTCTCCCAAATGTTTCCTTGTGTTTCTGTCTAGTTACAGAGGCTTCTCAATGTGGTTCATTCGGTATCCTACTTTTTGTTGTTCTGAAAGACATGGGAGCTACCCCGCAGGCCTTGCATGGTGCTGTGCTCCTTTTAATGTCACCAGCAGAGCAAAAAAGAGCCAAGGTCGGGCAGCCCAGTGAGGACAGGGACGGGGGTGTTGCGTGCCCCAGAATGTGTAAGAGAATGTCCCTGGTGTCTTTTCCAATAAGTGTCTCTCATATCCTTTAACAGATTTCATGCCTGAGATACATTTATTGCATATAGAATGTCTCAAATATAAGAATACAGAGATTTAAAATTTCAATTGCACATCTCTGTGAAGGGCTTATTGGTAATATCGATATTCTCTATGTGAAAACATACTTGGAAGCATTTCTCTCTCCTGTCTTCCAAGTACACTGGAATCCTCCATTTTCTTCTTAGAGCAGATTGAAACAAATGAGCTTCTAAAATGCAGTACTTGTCAGGGAGACTCTTTTTTTTGCATATTGCYATGCAAGTTACAGCAGTTTTGTGATTTCTTTTTAGCTTGTTGTCTTAGACAGCCTCACTTTGAGCAAAACACAGTAGTAGTTGTGTTCTACACATTGGCTTGTCCTTAACATTAATGGTGAGAGCTTTTTAGAGAGCTTCTCACAGCTTGAATTTCCCTGCTGGCATTTTGCTGGTAGGATGGCATCCTATGTGTCTGCCCTGGGGGTGATGTGCCTGCTGTGCCAGCCTTCCTGGGTACATGTAACTCTGGGATGTCTGAGGTGCTCTCCAGTGTGTGCATCTCACCTACTGCCCTGTTCCTGTGTCTGAGACAGTCTGTGTCCTCTCTAGATCACGATCCCGGGAGAGGAGGCGGCGACGCTCGAGATCGGCTTCCCGGGAGAGGCGGAAGTCTCGCTCCAGGTCCCGAGAGCGGCACAGGCGCCACCGGAGCCGTTCCCGCAGYCATAGCAGAGGCCACCGACGGGGTTCCAGAGACAGGAGCTCAAAACACAAGTATGCCTGTTTTTCGCACAGTGTTTCTGAAAAGGGGAGGCCTTGACATCTCTGTGAGCCTCTTCCAATCGCCTAGTGTGAGCAGGAATAGGGGCAGTTTCTGAAGCTAAGAGCTGTACATCCTGTGCCAATTCCTAAGCCAAAGCAGTTTTCCCAGTGGCTGTCCATAGACAGCCTCATAGCAGAGCAGGAGGGCAGTAACAGGACAGTGGGGTCCCAGCTCGAGAGCCCAGGAGGAGGAGATGCTGTTCCCTGAATTGCTGTGATAAACCTTGAGAAGCCACTGGTTTGTTTTCTTGCATATGCAGCAGCACGAAGGCTGTGCTTGTGCTAGCTCGACCTCCACAGGTCTGCAAAAGCTAAATAGCTGGGAGGGTGGTTAATGTTATATTCCTATGGTTGCCTTCTGCTTCCCAGCTCATTTCTCCMAGCAGTGGCATGGGGAAGGGAGTGTATTTTCGAACTGAAGGGAGTCTCCTGTTACAGGAAGATGGAGACTGGTCCGAGAGACAGTTCTCTGGAGATACCCATTTAGGGGAGGAGGGCAAAAGCTGAAAGGAGGAGCTGGGATGCCCTTCTGCTGTCACTGAGGTGGCATGTTGCAGAAGTTGCTCTAGTCTGAAGAAGGACCTGAAGTCTCTTCTCAAAACTGCCCCTGTGTTGAAGGAAGGTTGGAGCAAGTGCATGTATGAGCATTAGCAAACTGGAAAGGAATCACTGTACTTCCTTATGGCCCTCCTAAGGCCATTGAACAAGTGCATCATCAAGTGTTTGCTGAAGTTAGGTCTAGTATTCTGATTAATTCCCTTAGTTAAAGGAGTGCCTTAGCACTGTCTCACCTTACTAGACAACAMCACTTGAGTACAGTGCCGAAAACAGACCTACTGTTGTTGGTGGGCTGTCTTGTGCCCCTCCTAAGTAAGGAGTGAGAACAGATTTTAAAGATACTCAGTGAACGGGAGGGGAATAATGGTCTGCACAAAAGTCTGTTAATTGAGGGGGGTTGTATAAATACTGTTGATTCTCCAATGGCTGAGATACTAAAGTCGTTTTTTAAATCTGTCTTGAACATGAAAAATAAAGAAAAGAAGTTTGGACAATTAGGAAGTGAGGAAGACCCTGTAATAACTATTACTAAAGAGCAGGTAAGGGAATGCTTCGAAAACCTTGAACACATTCAGATCAGCCCACTGAGGTTGTAGAGGATTGGCTAGCTGACATATTTCTCAAAATTAGTGAGAATTGGGGAGAGACAAAGAAAGAGATCACAAAAAAAAAAGAGAACAAACAGGAAAAACAGAAAATGCTGAAACAGTGTAGCTTCTGTTTTCACTCAGTGAATTAATAGACTTCACTTTACAGTCCAGCTGATGAGATGCTTCTAGACAGAAATGGAGTGACTGTTGTGGGATCTATAGACCTCAGTGTAGGAGAATTATGGATAATAGGAATTGGGAAAGAACTAAATCAGAAATATTTTCATTGCTTTAAATTGTCCTTTAACCTAAGAAGATTATGAAATGGCTAATGTGAAACAGAGGGCTGTAAAATTTAAGTAAGTCATTTATACACTATTTCAAAAATTGAAAAATAAGAGGAATGAAAGCTGGAGACTTTAAGATACCTGCCGGGTCCCTTTTTGTAATTGCAGAATCAAACCCTTGTGTGTTGAGTTCTTGAATAAAATACACTGGCTGTGCAGCGTCTCCGAAGACTTCTGCCTAGTTCTGAAGGGGTTAGAGCTATTAAGTGACGATAAAGGGTCGGTGCCTTTTGAAAGTGCCTAGACAATAAGCTGGTTTTGGACTTAATAGGGATCCCTGATTAATTCTATGTGGGCCGACTCATGAAAGCACTGATAGAAATCTGTAGCTATACTTTGTGAAATGATTTGCCTCTGTTGTGGATTCTGAACGTAAAACTGTATCATCCTGCCCYTGAACAGCAGATGCTGCCAAACATTCTTGTCAAGATGCAGAATAACAAAAGTCTGGGACAGAGGAAGCATTGAAATCCAAAGAGCATTGTTGGCATTGAAAGCAGTTCTTGAGCAGACAGCCACTGGCTCGGATGTAACCTAAAAACACTCCAAGAGACACAAACAGGAGTTGAAAGATAGACGAGGAAGGAATTGCAGGCATTTTAGTAAGGCCCAATAAACTAATAAGGGGCCCCAGGGAACACTCAGAAAGGGTCTCTGGAGTCATTTATGAAAGGATCATTCTAAAGGAGAGTAAGAAAGTTTGCAATGCTCTCAGCACTGCRAAACTCGAGATATGTTACATAGAGCTTGTGGAGGGGGCAGCATTTCTATCCCAGGTGATACTCCTGATGCCACAACACATAAGGACACTTTCTTAACCTGGGTTATGTCACAGCCCTGTTAAGAAAGATTTTGCCCTTTTATGCATATTAGCACCTTCTTTTAGTTGTGGAGCTTATAGTGATGGTGTAATTTATACTTCAGATCCTCTAGAGATCGATCTTCAAGAGAAAAGTCCCGAGACAGAGAGAGGAAAGAGAAGAGCTCCTCTGAGAGACGGCACGAGAGCACAAATGGCAAGTCTCGTTCCAAGAGATCAGAAGAGAGAGAAGCTGGCGAGATCTGAACTCAAACGATCTGTGTTGCACTGTAAATAGTCTGATAAACATTCTACACAAAGCCTAAATTTCCCATTTATATTTACTGAATACAACTCATCTTTTGTAGTTTTGGATTTTTATTGTTTGGCAGATAGCTGTGAGTTTGTAGAGACGCAGTTACGTACTGTTTAACAGGATCTTGTTTTAGTAGGAATAAATAAATCTGATGGATCGTTTTCAATACAGGCCAGTGGTTCACACACAGTTTGTCATGCCCCAGTGATYGCGGCAGTTAGAGTTAATGCTGTGGTTGGAAACCTAACCTGCTGTAATGTTTGTAACACTTATGCCCTTTCCAGAGCGTCTCCCTGACCCTTTGCACAGTTGGCGTTTGAGAACAGCGGTAGCACTGCTTCTAACTTGATTCTTTTCTTTCTTTTTTCCTCTTCTGTTTGTACATGTTGAAAGGAGTTCAGATTTTTAAGTGCTTAGCAACCTCATTTTATGTCTACAGCATTGGAGAATTGCTTCACTATTCCAGCTAAGTCAGGACAGAGGAAAGTTGGTCCCGTATCCCTATTTCGAAAGATGTTTTTATGCGTAGGGATGGTGGAATGGGCTGGGCCGCAGGCCTGAGCTACGCTCAGGTCTGTCCCTAGCACGAGCGGCGCCTGCTTTAACAAGCCTGTGCTCAAATGCAAAGYGATTTCAAGAGAAAGGCAACAACTCATCTGCCTGTGTGCCGTGGTCAGAAAGCGGCCTCCTCGCTGSCGTTTCCGGGCTCGCCGAGGAAGCGCCGGTGCCTCCGAGGGCTCCTGGGGCAGCCCGGGCTCCCGCGGCGCCTCTTGGCTGCTGCGTGTCGGTGCCGCCCCGGCCGCGCAGCACCGGCCGCAGCCGCCAACCGGCCCCTTGGCGCCCGGCTGCAGCCGCACCGAGGACCGACCTCTCCCGAGCCGCCGCCGGGCCCGCTCCGTGTTAGTCTAGCTGCATGTTTCGCGCTCGCCGCCCCCTCCTTTGTTTTTACGGCTCTTGCTGCTTTTTACTGCCCGTTTTGTAACGGCGGCGGCGGCGGGAGGCCGCGCCGCGCTCGCATTAAAGCTCAGTGTTGTGGCTCGCCTCGCGCCTCCGCCTCGTTTGTACCGGGGGGGCGGGAGGGGCGCGCCCGCGCCGGGCCGGGCCGGGCCGCACCGGCGCATGCGCGGC